GGAATGGAGTAAAACAAAGCTCGGATGTTGCAGAGTTTAACGTGTCTTTTGTTATTGAAATGAAAAGCCTTGTGACAGACTGGTATGCAATCTTTGAAAATTGCTGGATGTATCCTGATTCTGCATTTTAATTTATCCAAAAATTTCTTGAGGCATTGGGAAATTTCCAATGGAATTTATTCAAAGGCTATCAGGTTGGAGCAGGATATGTCTGCATTTCACTGAGAGTGTCAGCAGTAAGTTACTGTGGAATCCAGAGAGTTCTATCTAAACCATTCATAGCCTTCATGTAATCCTACACAATGGCATTTGGTTTTAAATAAGCCTCTTCTAAAGGAAAGTGCTGTACCTTTAACATGGGTCCTAGAGCAGTTTCAGAGATCCATCTTACCCTTCAGGCCAGATTATCCTTGACTGTTTCATGAATGACATTCTGAAACGTGGGTGTTCACTAGTGATTACACTGTTTGCCATGTTCCTCAGACACTGAAACAGTCCATGCTCACACACAAGGCCTGGAAAAGTGGCAGGTGCTACGCATGTTACAAATGTTGTACCAAGCAATCACTATGTCCAGCGAGAGACAATCTAACCACTTCCCCATAACCATCACCCAAACCCCACCCGACCACATACGTCCTGGGCCAGCAGAGAGAATAAACTGAAACATTGAAATACTGTGGCTACAAGAACGTGCATATTTTGTGTTGAGTAACTCACCTTCCGATGTGCCAAATCCTGGAAACAGGGCATAGGTCAGGAGTGTGATGGAATTCTCCCCACTTGCCTGGATGGGTGCAACTCCAATGACACTACAGAAGCTTGACACCATCCAGGACAAAGCAGCCGCTTGAGTGGCACCACGTTAATTACGTTAAGTATGCACTCCCTCCATTTCTGGTAAAATGAGAATGTAGCGAAGGTTATGCAACAAGTCAATAGGGTAGGCCAAGGGAAGGTGCTTCCACTGTGTGTGTTGGGAAGAGGACCAGAGCACCCAAACAAATCTATTGAGTTTACAGTAGGCTCTCCTTTGCCCCTGGAGTGATTTCAATATGGAACAGACTCCCACAAGAAGTTAATTGATACATTTAATGGGAAGCTAGATATGTACAAGAGGGAGAAAGGAAAGAAAGATTACCGTGTAATGTTGATGTAAATTCTATGTAACTGCAGTCTCCCTTTGGAGTACTGCGGCTCCACATTGAAAAATGACCAAAAGAATGAAATATATTTTAAAATTCTATAAGGCCTACCAAAGAGAAATTTCATTAAGCTGTGTTAAATCAAATCTTCTTTGAAATTCTGGGCCCAACCACTTCTCAAGATCAACAACAGCCATTTCCATAAGGGGTCTAAGTCCCTTAATTCCCAGGACATTCCAAGATAGTTGATAAAGAAGAAAATGATTAATGTCTGATGTAGGTATTTCACATGTGAAATTGTTAGTCTGATTTAGAACATTACATCGTAGCTGAAACTTCTGTTGCCTAAATGAGCATGCCCATGTGCCTGTAAACTTCAACCTCTGTGATAAATTGGTTTGACAGTGTTTTCCTTAAAAGGGGAGAGTTTTACGAGGTTTTTAATTGATGAGACACCTTGTAGTACACAATAGTGACCGGGCAGGATTCAGCTCTGAGATGTTGCTCTGTAATCTAAGGCTGAGCTGTCTTTGTTTCTTTGTTGCTAATAGAATTGCCTTTTGATTGCAGTTCTGTGAAGACCTTGGATAAGATTCCTTTCCCCATCAACACCCATTTGAGTGGAGGCACTCCTAACCCTATCCTGCCATCTGCTGCCAGTGTCCAACTCGCTCAACTCCAGGCTCAGCTTACTCTGCAGCGGCTCAAATTCGCTCAGTCAGCTGTGAACAGTAACACGGCTGCTGCCACTGTACTGAGCCAGGTCCTCAACAAAGTTGCTATGTCCCAGCCGCTGTTTAACACGTTAAGGTCCCCATCGCTGATCAATGCAACACATGGACAAGCTGGAGCCCCACAGCTCGGGCCTGGTATTTCAGGCCCCACGATGCCACCTGGTGGACTATCTTATCCATCACAAACTCCAGGGTTACCCCCTTTGGTGGCAGGAAGCATCAACCAAGGTGGAAACTTACAGCCTCAAAGTGCAGGCCCAATCGGACTGCATCCTTTTGCAGGAATAGTCTCACAGCCATCCGTGCATCCAGCAGCTGTTATAAATCTGAACAAGACTGTCTCCTCACATCCTCCTGGTGGCTTTTCCGAATATCATGGAGATTTCTCCAATAAAACAATGCACGATGAGGCTCTCTGCACACAGGGATTTCATCAGTTTGGCTTCACTGGGGATCTGGCCAATGTACTTTCTGCTAATCTTGCCTCAGGGAATCTGGTTAAAGGACAGCACTCTGTTTTGAACCAGCCTCACTCTGGTTTCCAACAAGATTTCCAGGCTTCTCAAGGACAGCCCGTGTGCAGGATGCAGGCTCCAAGTTATTCAGGAGAAATGAATACTTGCAGCTACCCACAGAAACCTGAAGGCCCTCATCAAGTCAACCCAACTGGCAATTCCCAGAATCTGGGCACGTGGGTACCCGATCAGTGGCAGACTGCTTCACAATTCTTAAAACCCAACAGGCCTGAGTTTACAGCTCAGTCACCAAGTCTGTGGTCAACAAAAAGTCAACAGTTGCAGATGAGAAATGATCTGTATAATCCAGAGGAGCCAACGTCTGAAGGAAAGATCAATATTGGATGTCCATCTCCTTTTGACAGGTTCAACCAGAACAATCAGAATTTTGCAGGCGTCCAGTTCAATCAAAGTGACAAGCAACTGCACAGCACCTTCCACCTTCAGGTCCCAGAAAGACACATCCAGCCTTATGAACTGAATGATTTCCATGGCTTAGTGCCCTCGCAGCTGCCCCACATCTGCTCAATATGTGACAAGAAAGTCTTTAACCTAAAGGTGGGTCCTTTTTTTAGCATGGCTTTAGCAAATGTTATTACACGTGTTGGAGATGGGCCTGAAAATTCCGTGGGTGGTGCAGCTTTAACAAGAGCATCTCTTATTCCCGGTGGGATCTTCTTATGATCTTGAACCTGTTTAGAATGTGAGCCACTGAGGTGTGATCTACTTCTGAGCAGTGTCCATTTACAAATATATAAAAGATCCTTCTTCTTTAACCCACTGAAGTAAAATTTTATGGAAATACATTTTAGTCCATAAAGATTATCAAGCACAAGGAGGAATGCTTGACTACTCTTACTCAAGCACTGATGCAGTTCTGCTGTCCTTTTGATAATATTCTGTCTCTTTCTCAGCAATATAGAGACAACAAAGGTTTAAAATTTCACTTATACCAGGAGGAATCTAAGTAATGAACTAGAGTTTCTGACGTGGTGAGAAATAATTGTGGAGAGATTTTTTAACTGTCTATTAAAGCCATCATAAATTTACATTCCAGTCTATTAATCTATTATCATTTCCAATTTCCATTGAAATAAGATTAAGAAAAGAACCAGCAAAGTGAATCGAGGAAATTGCTTATGTTCAAAAATCTGGCACAGCAAGTCAAGACTTGCACAATTATGTATAAGAAGAGATATTCGGCTAAAACTGAGAAGATCATTAAACCAAATCATTGAAGTGGATTGAAATAAAAGTTGTGTTTCTGAAATGGAGCAGGAGAAAATAGAAACGTGGGATTGATTTAGTCAAAAGAAGAGGGGATGGTCAGATTTATTTCATGTTTCCAAAATTAAATACATAATCAATATATTTGTTAATGTTTTTATCTTGTGTTCCAGCATGAAATCTATTTTAATATTCATCACAATTGGTCAGAAAAATAATGATATCATAGCTTTACCTCAGAGTTCCAACTGACATAAAATTAAAAATGAGATTTTCTTGAGTGGCCGCAATGAATTTATCCGATAAATTATAAGTAACCAAAGAAGCCTGGCTTTGTGTGACTGGTGGTTTCTTTATTGGTTTTCTGTTATCACAGAATTTTTTTGATCAATGTTTGAAATATTGCCAACCTTCAGAGGTTTTGTATCTGGAGTGTTCACAGACAAGTGAAAAAAATGGTTAACACAAGAACAGAAAAACTATAAGGTTTCACTTTATTCTGAGTCGAAATGTCATCGAGCCATTCTAACGCTCCATCCCACCTTGCATCTCACCAAAAAACACACATGCCCACATTAAACTATCAATTTGCTTGATTTAGAGTCAGAGAGTCATACAGGCCTTCAGCACAGAGAAAGGCCTTTCGACCCAGTGGGTGTTCTAACTTTACACCATCTTGCTTTAAGTAACTCAGCCACATTGTTAACAACCAATTCATTGTCTAATATAGTTTCTCAATTCTTTTCCATCTAATTTGTAACTGTTAAGTCCTAAGTAATAATCTAATTCACACCCCACAATCATCAAAATTCAAAGATAAAGCAAGAAAACCGAATGGTAAATGACTCAATGCCAAGATTTCCTCATGATAATGGAATGAGGAGGGTCCCTGTGCACTAATTCTGAATCATTTGCTAGTGTTATAAAGTGGACACTGACCCCCACCACTGCCCAACGTCCCCCCAACCTCCCCCCACCACCCCCCCCCCCCCCCCCCCCCACCCCCCCCCCCTCCACCCCCCACCATCCCCCCGCCGGTGAGCTAAAACCAAAGAGGAACACCTCACCCCATAATCTGTAAACGGAGTGTGAAAAGTGTGTAATCTACCTTTCAGCAACTTTTAGAAATTAAAAAAGAACTGACACTCACTTTACAATCAACTAGTAACAATTTATTTATCTAACTCCAACAGTGAACGAATTAACCAGGCCATTAACAAACCGAATAAACCCTTTCTAACTACCAACTATTCTCGAATAATACATGATTCTAATTGTTTGCTGTTCCAATAAATATAAGTCCCACTTATACAAAATAAAATTTAAAGAAGTCGACTTTGGTCTCTCGAAATTACAGCCAGATTACTTGTCTTCTGGTATACTCTTTGCCTTATCCATCAAATGTTCTGTCAGGAACACTTCCTATGCCCATTCTTCTGTCAGGAATATTAACAAGTTGTGCTGTAGGTACTTTTGATATTTAGATAGTACTTTCTCTAAGACTTAGAGGAGCCAGTGAGAGCCAAGAATTCTCTCTTAAGAGCTGAGAGCTATTAACTCTGGGAGATGGCAGTTAGTTCTTCTGTCTTTGTCCAATTCCCCTCTCCTTTTATACCCCAATGTCATTTCAATTTCTTACAATTGGATTGGTCCTAGGTTGTCAAAACCATTGGATTCAAATTTGATAGGTTTTTTGTGTCTAAGTGCCTAGTTCAAATTGATTGGCTAAAACCAATAACTTATTGCCTTGGTAAAAACTGCTGCCTAGCCTGCTAACTGTACGGCCTTTCAATATGAATGTTTCAATTCTGGTGCTCTCCATACTTACAAACTTTCAAGCTGCTCACAGACATCTCCAAGTATAGAGAAAGCACAATCTCTTAAATGGACCATGCAATGCTACCCCTGGCCACCCAGCATTTTACAAGCACCAAATTCTAACATCCTGCCTCCCAATCTACAAATACTCTACCCAACTTCTCAACGCTGGGTAAAGGTTCTGATTTGATGGAGAGAAAGGCATGCTGCAGCTTTAAATTGGAAACTGACTTTGAACATGCACTAAACAGTTTTATTTAGCCTTAAATTTACTCAAAACGAATAATCATAATAATTTAAGTATCTAGAAAAGGAATCAATGTACCTGGAACTGAATATGTATAAAATGCAGCTTTGAAGGTAAACTGTACTAATAATCTGGGCTCCCCCATCCCCATATCCTTATACACCTTTATCTGCTTCTTTCCCAACCTCTGTTGCTCCAAACCCAGCCTTTTCCCCATCACTCAGATCCTCCAGCCCAGGCAGTGTCCTGGTAAATTTCCTCTGTACCCTCTCTAGCATGACCACATCCTCACTATAATGTAATCGCCAGAACTGCACACAATACTCCAGTTGTGTCCTAACCAGTATGTTATATAGTTCCAGCATCACCTCCCTGCCCTTAAACTCAATCCTTGGCTAACAAAGGCAAGTATCCCATGTATCTCCTTAACCACATTATCTACCTGCCCTGCCACCCTCAGGGATCTATGGATATGTACACTAAGGTCCCTCTGACATTCGGTACTTTCCACGGTCCTACCAGTTACAGTGGAATCCCATGCTTTATCTGCTCTCCCCAGCTGCATTATCTCACCTTTTCAGACTAAGTTCCATTTCCTACTGCTCTGCCCACCTGATGGGTCCATTCAAATCCTCCTGCAGTTTACAGCCATCCTCCTCTCCTATTTATACTCTTACCAATTTTCATGTTATCTATGAACTTCTTGATCTCACCCTCTAAGTCCTTATCATTAATATGCACCACAAATAGCAAGGGGATCAGCATTGAACACGATAGAATCCCACTGAATACAAACTTCCATTAACAGAAACATTCCTCAACCATCACCTTCCTGCCTTTCGGTCAATTTCGGATCCAGTTTGAGAGTCGACACAGTAAGCGTTAACAGCCTATATCTGCACGGGGAGAATCAAAACAGAGTCCCATCCTCAAACTCTGAGGAAGGGTCACCAGACCCGAAACATTAACTCTGTTTTTTCCTTCACAGATGCTGCCAGACCTGCTGAGCTTTTCCAGCAACTTTGGTTTTTTCCTCAAACTTACTTGTTGTCTATGTGGAAAAGATTCTGTTGGCATCTGTTCATTGCTTTATCCATCATTTATGAATCAAATTCCATATTCCTGGAACCTCATTATTCATTGACAATGAACAATTATGATGTGTTGTCAAATGTGGATATTGTTAGGAGGTCTGACATTGACACACAAGATTGTGACCAGTTTAGATCAGATAGGTAAAGAAAAACTAACCCCTTCAGCTAATAATTCATGGACTGGGTGACACATATTTGAGGTTTTGAGCAACAGATAAAGGGACACAGGAGGAAGTGTGCATTCAGTGGCAATGATGCTGAATGCAAAGACATGGAATCATTTCAAAGAGAAGTTGGACAGACAAGTGAGAGGAGAGATGATGGCCTTGTGGTATTATCACTGGACTTTTAATTCAAAGACTGAGGTAATATTTTAGGAACCTGGGTTTGATTCCCACCACAACAGATTGTAAAATTTTAATTAAATAAAAATCTGGAATCAAGCGTCTAATGATGACCATGAAACTATTGTCAGTGTCAGGGGCAAAAAAACCCATCTGGGTCACTAATGTCCTTTAGGGAAGGAAACTGCCATCCTGGTTGGGCTATGGAATTAGAGTGTGAATGATGGGGAGGCTCCTCAGGCAGCTAGGATGGGCTCAATGGGCCTAATCATCTCTGTCTGCATCATAATGTTCTATTAATGTACCCTGAGAAACACAGGAACACATTTGTATACAGCAAAGTCTCACAAACTGTCCTGAAATAAATGATATGTTTTGCTGATTTGGCATCTCCCAAGAAGTCGGCAGCTCTTTGACAAGTGATGCCCTTGCACTGTGTTGGGAGGCATTGAGCAGGACCATGACGTTATGTATCTTGGGTATAGGCTCTGACGGGTTTCAGGAAAGGAGAAGGAACAGGGAGCTAAGAAATGAAATGACAACTGTTTATTGTCACACACAGTGGGTGACCTATTGCCATTTATGCGTTTCTTTTTCCTTTGTTTTGGAGAAACCAGCAAGAGAAAACACTTCCAAATTCCATAGGTGACAAGAAAGAGACAAAAGGACAAAAAGGGGTTTGATAATGTGGAGACAATAAAACGATTGCCACATGGGTGCTGTGTGTGATTCATGTGACAGACAATTACCATTTCACTCCAGAACATATCACCTGATTCCATCGTTCCTCTTGGATATCCTTTTATGATTAACCCAACAAAATCCATAAACCAATCCAGAGCTCCAACATTCACCTCTGAAATGTCAGCTGTCTCCATTGTAATCTCACCAGCTTGTTCCCAAATAAAAGCCGCATGGGGTAAAATTGCTTTGCTGTTTCCAAAACAGGACAAACCACCCAAACTCCTTATTGTTCAGGCTCTGTCCGCACCAGCCCCTCTATTGTCACCAGTACAACTGGCAGCTTCTCACCCTGTGAGAGAAACCTGGCTCAGATTGTAAAATAACTGAGCATTACAATTGCAGAAACAAAACTCAAGCTAGGTTACACTTTGGTGCATTTTAATAAGCTTCCACAGAACTGTACAATCAGCATCTTATATATCAGCTTCTACTTTATATTGGGCAGGATTGGGAACAGCATGTGAATGGAAAACATCACATCCAGAACTGTACCCTCTTCTCTGAAAAGTGAGTAACCCTTTCTGATTAGTTTTCTCTGTGGGTGATGAATAGTTAAAAATAATTGCTAATATCTTTTACTGTGTGAGAGTCCACACAGGACTCACTTGCTAACCAATCAGCATTCTCCTCTCATACAGTATGAATGTTGATTTCCCCTCTTGATTAATTGATTTGATTGGATTTAATGTCACATGTACCTGAATACAGTGAAAAGCTTTGTTTGCGAGCAGTACAGGCAGATCATTGTCAGCAAGGATATACAGTTCATAGGATGAAAAAGACTTGGACAGAGTCAGACATACAAGGTTACGGCTGCACAGGAGGTGCACAAAGCAAGTTCAACATTAACAACACCAACATTATTTGATGTTGGAGAGGTCCATTCAGCAGTCTAATAACAGCAGGGAAGAAACTGTTCTTGAACCTGTTGGTGCGAGTTTTCAAGCTTCTGTATCTTCTGCCCAACAGAAGAGGTTAGAAGAGAGCATTACTGGGGTGGGAGAGGTCTTTGATGACGTTGGCAGCCTTTCCACGGCAATGAGAAGTGTAAATGGAGTCCATGGATGGGAGGTTGGCTTCCCTGATGGTCTGGGCTGAGTTCACAACCTTCTGTAGTTTCTTACAGTCCTGGGCAGAGCAGGACATTATGCACCTGGATAGAATGCTTTCTATGGTGCATCTGTAGAGGTTGGTGAGGGTCCTTATGGACATGCTGAATTTCCTAAACCTCCTGAGGAAGAAATTATTTGTATTCTTGCAAATTGTCCTGACGTCTGCAGCTTGAAAAGTTTCAACAAATGTGTATTGTTTCAGCAATACCTCTGTTCTTTTCTATCAAAGAACGAATTGGATCATTACTGATTTGTAAACGCTTTTGTTCTACACAATTCTGAAATGTTAGCCATTTGCATTTTCCTCAGGACAGTCCAGGAAATCCATCAGGTTATTCCCATTGAATACATCACATCCTGCGCCAGGAGTCTCCATACTTTCTGAAATAGTTGGGCCATGAAGAGGTTATCTTAGTGAGTCTGTTTTCCTGCTACAAAAACAGAGATTGCTGGAAAAGCTCAGCAGGACTGAGCTTTAAAGATAATGTTTTGGATCAAGTAACCCTCGAAACGTTAGCTCTGATTTCTCTTCACAGATGCTGCCAGACCTGCTGAGCTTTTCCAGCAACTTCTGTTTTTGTTCCTGATTTTACAGCATTCACAGTTCTTTTGGTTTCTGTTTTCCTTCTATTCTGTCTGTGATGTTCTCCCTTTATTTTTATTCTGAATTCCAATTTTAATCCCAGTTCAGGTATTGTGTCAACGAATTTTACAAGACCAACAAATGGAGGAGTCAATTTGTGTGGATCCAATATGATTTTGAATCCTTCCGGTAATCAATTTAAATCTGTTATGCTTTTTAACAGAAAAAATGAGTAATGCTTCTCATTAAAATTAAACCTAATTTAGAGTGTTTGGAGTGTTAACTGTGACTGGGGGTTTGTGCTCGTTATAGATTTCTGTTGGTTTTAGTTATAAATCCCTAATACAGATGCTGGAGAAAAATGTAGAAAAAATGTGATCAGTTGGAAGTGAGTTTGATGGTAAGAATGAAAAACGCAATTGTAATAAGGCAGTGACCATGAAGTTACCTGTCTGTTGCTCCACAGCCCCCGTTTGTACAGTGTTGTAATTGTACAGTGAAATAGTAATGTGAGCATTGTTACATTTACAATATAGACTCCTAACTCACCTCCGCTGATTCTGGTCTGCGTTGATCGCTGAGATGCCTGGTGTTCATTTAAACCTCTCAATGTGGATACTCGCGTCAAATTCTCCTGTCCTCTCCTGTGGAGTATTGATGGACCTTTACTGGACACTGCTCCAGAGTAGGAGGGGAGAGTAATTTGGGATTATTGAGCAGAAATTATATCCTATTATTCTGCAATTGCTCTCATATCAGTTAATTCACACAGTGAAAAACAGACCATTATTGTTGATAAGCTTTGCCGTTCTGCCAAATGCAGACGAGTACTAGATATTGTCTGGTATTGTGGGGGACCTTCATAATTTTGCTTCATGTTATTGTCCATTACCTTTCAGACCTTCCACCAGATAACAATCAATCTCAGCTGAGGACATTCTCCCAGCAAAGCCATGGATTCACTTCGACACCTCCAGGGTCAAAGGTAGTTCATTCCTAGTTACTCAACATTCACCTTAGCTTCTCTTTCCATTTGTTTATTTAAATTCTTGAACGTTAGCAGTGCTGACTAGGTTCTGCTCTGGAGGTTGGTGGGTCTTCAGAAGTGTTTTTGTTCCATGATTGAATCACTTTGCTGGGCTCCTTCAGTGAGAACAAACTGGTTCCATTCACTAAAGAGCATTTACTGAACCAGGTGGGTGCTTCGAGCAGCTTTCCTGTTTGTAGAAGACCATGGGAGATTCGGAACTTGTGATCTCTGAACTGCTAGCCCACAACCACAACCCCCTGGGGACAGGCGATAATGGGTGGATCAGCCTTCAGCTGCTTGATCCTTACCTGGAGCTCTGAGATTCTGGCCTTGCATTCCAATATGATCCTCCTGAGAAACACGAAACATTTCCTGAGCTGGGAATCTTGCAGTACAGCCTCAGTTTGGAAGGAAAAGTCAAGTCAGGTTTCTAAGTGCGCAGGATTCTGAGCAGGTTTTAATTCTTGAACATTTCCCAGGCTACTGTTTGGGTGCCTGGGCCAGAATGCTCCAAACTCTCCAAGTTGTAAACACTTTCAGAGGATTCCAGGTGCAGAAGTTGCAGAAGTTGAAACTTCCCAGGAAATCCTGGGCTGGTTGGTGCTTCGGGAAGCTAAAGTGTCCACTAATACATCAATACAAGCCTTGTGGAAACATATCACATTCTAAAAGCACTGGCCTGAAGGCTGAAGCCACTGAACATTTAGAAAATAGTTTTATTGTTGAACAAGCAGCAGTGTCTACTCCAGTTCTGAGAAAGGGACCCGAAACATTAACTCTGATTCCTCTTCACAGATACTGCCAGACTTGCTGAGCATTTCCAGCAATTTCTGTTTTTGTTTCTGAGCAATGTCTACCCAACCCCCCCACCCCCAACCACCAAACCCAGGCACTCTCCTTCTCTCCTTCCCCAACTGAGGGAAAACCCAACTCTTGCACATTTTTTAATGAACTCGTCCAGGCACATTGTGTCACACCTCTGCAGCAGGGGGCACAGGAACACAGACCTTCTGTCCCAGAGACAGGGACTCTAGCACTGTGTAGTACAATGACTATACGCCAGCATCACTGGTGTAGTAATGACTGGCATTAACAATGCCCTCCTTTTGTTATTAATCAAACATTAAACCTCGTTTGTTTGAGATGTATGTTCCGTTAGTGTGAGGGCAAGGCTGTTAGCTATGATGTAGAGGTGCCAAATTCATTGGACTGGGATGGACAGGGTCAGAAATCACACGACACCAGGTTATAGTCCAACAGGTTTATTTAAAATCACAAACTTTCAGAGTCTTACTTCTTCTTCGGTTGTTAGTGAGAGAGGTAGTATCAGACACAGAATTTATAGGTAAAAGATCAAAGGGTCACACCACTGATGAGGATGTACTAAACAAACCTAAATGCTGTTAAATCTTTCATCAGTTAGAAGGTTTTAAATGATTGTACATGTAAATCCCCAAATTCTTTTGAAGTCACAGTCCTGTGAGAAATAAAGGTTTTATCAGTGTAAAGAAGAGGTGACATTTTAGGTCAGACAATGCATGTCAGGTGTGAGGGCTTGTTTAGAATCTGTTTGTCTTTATGTTTGGAGTCAGACTGGTTTTATTTCTAAATAGGAATTTATAAAACACTGGTAGGTGTAGGAAATACTGGATGACTAGAGAAATTGAGGCTCTGGTCAAGAAAAAGAAGGAAGTATATGTCAGGTATAGACAGCTGGGATCAAGTAAATCCCTTGAGGAGTATAAAGGCAGTAGAAGAATAATCAAGAGGGAAATCAAGAGGTCAAAAAGGGGAAATCAAATAGCTTTGGCAAGTAGGGTTAAGGAGAATCCAAAGAGATTCTTCAAATTCATTAAGATCAAAACAGTGACTAGGGAGAGAATAGGGCCCCTTAAAGGTCAGCAAGGCTGTCTATGTGTGGAAGCGCAGGAGATGGGGGAGATACTACACAAATATTTCATGTCAGTATTTACTGTGGAGAAAGACATGGAAGCTAGGGAACTTGAAGAAATAAATATTGATGCCTTAACAAATGTCCAAATTACAGAAGAGGAAGTGCTGGAGGTCTTAAAACACATATAAGTATATAAATTCCCAGAATCTAATCAGGTATATCCCAGAATTTATGGGAAACGAGGGAAATGATTACTGGCTACATTGCTGGGATGTTTGTATCATTGATAGCCATAAGCAAGGTGCCAGAAGATGGGAGGGTGGCTAATGTGGTGCCATTGTTTAAGACAGGCTGTAAGGAGAAGCCAGGGAACTATCGACAAGTGAGCCTTATGACAGTGATGGGCAAGTTGTTGAAGGGGATTCAGAGGGACAGGATTTACATGTATTTAAAAAGACAAGGATTGATTAGGGATAGTCGACGTGGCTTTCTACATGGGAAATCATGTCTCACTAACTCGATTGAGATCTTTTGAAGCGGTGACAAAGAAGATTGATGAAGGTAGAGCAGTAGACATAGTTTATATGGATTTCAGTAAGGTGTTCGACAAGGTTTTGCGTGGTAGACTGGTTAGCAAAGTTAGATCACATGGGATCCAGGGGGACCCAGCCAATTGGATCCAAAATTGGCTTGAAGGTATAAGACAGAGGGTGATGGTGGAGGGTTGTTTTTCAGACTGGAGGCCTATGACCAGCGGTGTGCCATAAGGATCGGTGCTGGGTCCAATGCTTTTTGCCATTCACATAAATGATTTTTGATGTGAATATAGGAGGAATGGTTAGTGAGTTTGCAGATGACACCAAAATAGGTGATGTAGTGGACAGTGAAAAAGATTATCTCAGAGTACAATGGAAGGGTAATTATGATTCTGTTAGGCAAGAACTGGGTAACATAAATTGGGAACAGATGCTGTCAGGGAAGAGCACTATAGGAATGTGGAGATTGTTTAAGGAATGCATACTGCGTGTGCTTGATATGTTTGTCCCGAGCAGGCAGGGAAGATGCAGTCAAGTGAGGGAGTCTTGGTTCTCAAGAGAGGTCGAACGACTGGTTAAGAGGAAGAAGGATGCTTATGTAAGGTTTAGGAAACAAGGAACGGAACAGGCTCGAGAGGGATACAAGTTATCCAGGAAGGAGCTGAAGAAAGGGCTTAGGAGAGCTATAAGGGGGCATGAAAAAACCTTGGCAGACAGGATCAAGGAAAATTCCAAGGCTTTTTACACGTACGTGAAGAAAAAGAGAATGACCAGAGAAAGGGTAGGGCCGATCAAGGATTGTAAAGGGAATTTGTACACGGAGCCTAAAGAGATAGGAGAGGTCCTTAATGAATACTTTTCTTCGGTATTCACAACTGAGAGGGACCTAGTTGTAGAGGAGGACATTGTGAAATGGGCAGGTAGGCTAGTGGAGGTGGATGTTAGTAAGGAAGATGTACTAGGAATTTTGAGGAACTTGAAGATAGATAAGTTCCCCGCGCCTGATGAGATTTATCCAAGGATTCTATGGGAAGCGAGGGAAGAGATCGCAGGGCCTTTGGCGATGATCTTTTTGTCCTCACTGTCCATGGGTATAGTGCCGGAAGATTGGAGAGTGGCAAACGTCATTTCCTTGTTCAAAAAAGGGAACAGGGATAACCCCGGAAATTACAGACCAGTTAGTCTTACATCAGTGGTGGGCAAATAATTGGAAAGGACTCTGAGAGATAGGATTTATGATCACTTGGAAAGGCGCAGTTTGATTCGTGATAGTCAGCATGGATTTGTGAGGGGTAGATCATGCCTCACAAACCTTATCGAATTCTTTGAAGAAGTGACCAAACACGTGGATGAAGGTAGAGCAGTGGATGTGGTATGCATGGATTTAAGTAAGGCGTTTGATAAGGTTCCCCATGATAGGTTCATGCTGAAGGTAAGGAGGCATGGGACAGGGGGAGATGTGGCAGATTGGATTCAGAATTGGTTGACCCTTAGAAGACAAAGGATGATAGTGGATGGAAAATATTCAACGTGGTGCTCAGTTACAAGTGGTGTACCACAAGGATCTGTTCCGGGTCCTCTTCTATTTGTGATTTTTGTAAATGATTTGGATGTAGGAGTGGAAGGGTGGATGAGTTAGTTCGCGGACGATACGAGGTGGGTCGAGTTGTGGACAGTGTGGAGGACTGTTCTTGGTTACAAAGGGACATTGATAGGATTCAGAGCTGGGCTGAGAAGTGGCAGATGGAGTTTAACCCTGAAAAGTGTGAGGTGATTCATTTTGGAAGGACAAATTTGAAAGCAGAATACAGGGTTAACGGAAAGATTCTTGGCAGTGTGGAGGAGCAGAGGGATCTTGGGGTTCATGTCCATAGTTCCCTGAAAACTGCCACCCAGGTGGATAGAGTTGTTAAGGAGGCGTATGGTGTGTTAGCTTTCATTAATAGAGGGATTGAGTTCAAAAGCCGTGAAGTTATGCTCCGGCTATACAAAAGCCTGGTTCGGCCACGTCTGAAGTATTGTGTCCAGTTCTGGTCGCCTCATTACAGGAAAGATGTGGAAGCGTTGGAAAAGGTTCAGAGGAGATTTACCAGGATGTTGCCTGGAATGGAGGGAAGGTCTTATGAGGAAAGGTTGAGAGAGCTAGGGCTTTTCTCTTTCGAACGACGAAGGATGAGAGGTGACTTGATAGAGGTGTACAAAATGATCAGAGGTATAGATAGAGTGGACAGCCAGAGACTTTTTCCTTGGGTGGAGGTGGCTATTATGAGGGGGCATAGTTTTAAAGTGAGTGGAGGTAGATAGGGGGAGACATCAGAGGTTGGTTCTTTACTCAGAGAGTGGTAGGGGCGTGGAATGCATTGCTGGAGAGGGTAGTGGATTCGGCCTCATTAGGGGCATTTAAACAGCTATTAGATAGGCATATGGATGATAGTATAAGGTAGGGCTGGAGGTTAGATAGACCTTAGGTTTAGGGTAAAAGTTCAGCACAACATCGTGGGCCGAAGGGCCTGTACTGTGCTGTG